CAGCTGGACCGAAGCTCTCTGCCTTTTGCACGGAGAATGGTTAACAACAATCCTATGTATTTGGACCGATTGGAACACATCACCTCTGACCGTCCCCAAGCCCCAACATCCATCAGTCAAGGCTCTATTTATCCAGCAGAGCCAAATTGTAGCTCAGCAGCATTCAAAGGTGACTTCAGCTTCTTGGCAAGCCTACGCCTGACTTCCAGTTCTCACTTTCTGCCCCCAACAAGCAATAGAAGTAGCAATCAAAGCACAGCCTTCCCATGCCTACAGCAAGATGTGCCTTGCTCACCGAAAGCCTCGCCATGCCCATTTCGATCCTCACCGTGCCCTCCGCGAGCCTCCTCATGCCCACCACGAGCCTTGTCCTGCCCTCCACAAACCATGCAGTGCCCACCACAAGCCTTGCCTCCGCCGCCTCAAGAAGTGCCCTGCCCTCACAATGGAGTGGGCCCTCAGCAGCATGTGCCCAGCTCACCTCAAGACTCCTCCACGCCTGTTCAGCTCTCAGCGAACCCATCTCCAGGTTCTCGCAGCCCACCTCAAGACTCTTGGGGCCTACCTCAAGACGTACCAGGCCCACCTCAAAACATATCATATCCACAAAATGGGGCACACCTGCAAGGCTTGCCACAGTCCCTGCAAGATGTGCCACAGACCCCTGGAGACACGCCGCTATCCCCACAAATCATGTCCCATTCACCCAGAGACATGCCGCTGCCACCAGAAGCCATGCCGCATTCCCCTAGGGATGTGCCACCGTCACCAGGAAATAGGCTATGCTCGCCAAAAGAGGGACCCCACTTCTCGAGAGGTGTGCCCCCATTACCCAGCAGTGTGCTGTGTCCCTCCAGAGACAGGCCGTGCCCACTTGGAGTCTTGTCTGCCTTCCCACAAGAGAAGCCTGACTCTCCTGCCAATGATATACAGAACCGGGACACTCCTATGGAGCTCTCCACTCCATCCCCTCAGCACTGCTCTCCCAGGCCGCAGTCTCCGCAGCAGCCAACGTCCTCAGACGAGGAGAAACTCCCTTGGCTCTCCGTCCTGAAGACCCCGGGCAGAAAAGCGCTGTCACTCTCAGAGCCCGCCAACCCAGCCTCGGTTCTGACACCCGGGCGAGCAGCACGAGGGGGGCTATCCAACAGGCCGTGCCTGCACAGACTCAAGTACTTCCTACGGCCGCCAGTGCATCACCTCTTCTTCCAGACACTCATACCAGATAAAGATGCAAGAGAGGTAAGTGACCTATTCTCACCTACGGATTGGGGTCTTTTGTATAGGTCTGAACAAAGCTCGTGTCACTGCAGTTTGTGCAAGTCCATGCATGACAGGACATGTCCAGTCTGGGCTTGCCACGGTCATCATTACCGTATTATGGAAACCATGCAGTGTAGAGTCAGATCAGGATTCCCATTTCAGCCTCTCATTTAAACACACCGCTGGGCAAGTCGTTTTCTCTCAGTAAGCCTCAGCTTTGAGATGGCATGTGACGGACCTGCCAGTGTCACAGGACGTCACCAGGTGCTTTTCCTCCACGCCAGGGCCGGTCCCTTCGTGACGCCCTAGGGCAGCTTCCATGCCGAACAAATCATGGTGCTCGGGACACTTCAGTGCCTCCAGACTTATTACTCCCTGCCCTTCAGGGAGGAGATGCCATTTTAAAATTTCAGGAAGGATGCTGCTTCCCACTGGTCCTCGGTCTGTGAGGGTTAAACCATATGTGTAAGGGGAAAGGTGGAGCCAAGTCCCACAGGATGAAGGTGCTTTGTCATGAAGCTCAGGGCCATGCTGACATTAGGAAGACTGGCTTGAAGTTATTCAGAAAGTCAAAAGGTACATATTCCTCCTTACTGGAGCAGTACTGATCCAGCTCAGCAGCTGTCAGGTGAAGTAATTTCTTTTGTTCAATTTTTTTCTCTTCTCCTTATGAATGCTGCTGCTCACCATTAGCTCTTGTTTTTCCCAGCGTTTACCTCAGGTGGGTGACACATCTCTCCATTATCGAGAGCACTTGGAGAAGTAGAGAAAATATAACCGTTTCCCTGGTCAAGACTGGGTGGGGAGGGGGTGTCTTTGTAGGCATTGTTGATGACACAAAGCCACCAGTAGATCCATATGAGCTATACACATATCTCAGATTTCAGTTGACAATCAGACTAAGTAGAATGGATTTTTCTTCACCTTTGTTTCCTACTTTCTTAAAGAATCCCAGCTGTCTGGTACATATTTGTAAATCTCCTCTGTCCCTCATATGATTTAATTTGGGTGATGAGTAAATAACTTCACTAGATTATTTTCCCCCTTCTTCCTTCATTACTGCCATTTACTACATTCACCTGCACGCCGCTGGGTGTCTTTGTTCGGCTCTAATAAGATCATATTGACCATGTCACAGTTGTTTGACTTCATGGTAAACACTCAAGCACATAACCACCTTTTGAGCCCTGTGCAAGGGCTCTATATAAGTATTAGTTCCTGTTCTTTTTTTAATACTTTTATTGGGGGCTCTTACATCTCTATCACAATCCAAGCATTCCTCCAATGTGTCAAGCACTTTTGCACATATGCCATCTTTTTCAAAGCATTCTCTTCCCACTTGAGCCGCTGATATCAGCTCCCCATTTCTTCCCTCTCCCTTCCCCACCCTCCCTCACGAACCCTTGATAAGTTATAGATTATTTTTTCCATATCTTACATTGTCCTCCGTTGCCCCTCACCCACTTTTCCATTATTGGTCCCCCTGGGAGGGGGTTCTAGGTTGGTCCTTGTGATTGATTCCCCCTTTCTCCCCCCACCCTCCCCTAATCCTCCTGGCATCTCTGCTCTCCTTGTTGGCCCTGAGGGGTTTATCTATCCTGGATTCCCTATGTTGCAGGCTCTTATCTGTAGCAGTGTACATGCTCTGGTCTCATCCGATTTGTAAGGTAGAACTGAGGTCATGATAGTGGGGTGAAGGAAGCACCAAAGAACTAGAGGAAAGTTGTGTTTCATTGGTGCTATACTGCACCTTGACTGGCTCATCTCTTCCCTGTGACCCCTCTGTGAGGGGATGTCCAGTTGTCTACAGATGGGTTTTGGGTCACCACTGCATGCCCCCTCCCCCCTCCATTCACCTTGGGTATGATTTTATTCTGGGTCTTGGAAGTATTAGTTCCCTTTCTATAAAAACATTTATATGTTTTTAGATGTCGCTATTTTGTAGACAAGAAATGAATACTAAGGGCACAAGATTGTAACGTGCATCAAATGTAAAGCCTGCCCCCAAAGCAGAATGTGTATTCCCTTATCTTCTCTCGCTCATTAGATTCTCATTTCGTCCAGCCATGGCCTCTCCTCAGAGAGCTGTGGAGCACCTTTGAGTGACTTGAGACACGAGGGGAGCTGATGATCTTCTTTCATCCAAAAGATTCTTGGGAAGGGCAATAGTGTCATCACTACATTACACTAGTCTGCATAAGGTTTCAGATCTTTGGTTGGCTATTTCAAAATAAACATTTCTTTCTGAGTTTAAAAAGAATGCTTGTTATAAAAAACAGCCACAGTCTTATTGCTCAGGATTTAATATTTTTAATTTGGTGAACTTCTCTTTTAGTGGGTTGTTGTTGTTGTTTGTTGAGAGCAGGTGTCCCAAACAGGGTTTGTAGTGTCTGGAGTTATATACCATCTATATTTGAAACCAGCCTCTGCCATTGATTGCTGCTTCCATGAGCATTGATTATAGATCCAAGTAAAGTGAATTCTCATTCTTCTCAATGCTATCCATAGTCTTTGTATGATCCATACAGTCACATGCCGTTACAGAGTCAACAAAAGACAAGTCAACATCTTTCTGGTATTCTCTGCTTTCAGTTAAGATCTATTCGACTTCAGCCATGTCCTTTTCTAACTCTAACTTGGATTTCTGGCACCTCTCTGTTGATGTACTGTTGCAGGCATGGTTGAATGATCTGCAGTAAAACTTGACTGGCATGTGGTATCAGTGGTATTGTTCGGTAATTCCTACATTCTGTTGACTTACTTTTCTTTGGAATAGGTACAAGTACAGATCGCTTCCACGCACTCAGCTAGGTTTCCAGTCTTCCAGATTTCTTGCATTAGAGAGAGAGTGCTGCTAGTGCTCCATCAGCTTGTCGACACATTTCAGTTGTTATTTAGTCAATCCCAGGAGGCTTGTTTCTGTGAACCTTGGACTTCTTCAGTGCCATTGGTTCTTGGTCATATGCTACCTTGAAACAGTTGAATGTTAGCCGGTTACTTTTGGTACAGTAACTCTGTTTATTCCTTCTGTTTTCTTTTGATGCTTCTTGCATTATTCAACATCTTACATAGAATCTTTCAATATTGCAACTTGTGGCTTGAATTTTTCCTTTAGTTCTTTCAGCTTGATATATACTGAATGTGTTCTTTTGTTTTTTGAACTCTAGGTCTTTGCAACTGTCATTATAATTACTTTGTCTCCTCAAGCTGTCCTTTAAAATGTTCTGTTCAGCTCCTTCATTTCATCATTTCTTCCATTTACTTTAACTACTGTGCCGGTCCCCGGGGAAGGACATCCTGCTTGGTAAGGTCGAGGGGCAGCGACAGAGAAAAGCCCTCAAGGAGGTGAATTGACACCGTGGCTGCAGCAGTGGGCTCAAGCATAGCAACGCTTGTGAGGCTGATGGAGGACCAGACAGTGTTTCGTTCTGTTGTGCATAAAGTCACTATGGGTCAGAGCCAAGTTGTTGACACCTACCAACTGTACTTTCAAGAGCAAGATTCAGGGTTGCTTCTGACATCCACTCTGATTTTTTTTTCTCCTTCTTGTCTTTTTCCTGACCTTTTGCCTTCAGGTATGATGTTCTTGATGTCATCCCTCAGCTCGCCAAGGCTTCTGTCATCAGTGTTCAATGTGTCAAATCTGTTCTTGAGTTCTCGGAATTCATGTAGTAGATGCTCGATTGTATTTTACATCACATAGACTTGCTTCGACTTCATCCTGAACTTATATATGAACAATTGATGATCTGTTCCACAGTTGGCACCTGGTGTCATTTTGGCTGCTAATAATTGAATTTCTCCAGAGTCTCTCCTCACAGAGATGTGCTCAATTTGATTCCTGTGTAGTCTGTCTGGCATAGTCCATGTGGACAGTCGCCACTTAGGTTGTTAAAAAAAGGTATGCGCAATGAAGTCGTTAGTCTTGCAATAGTCTGTCATGTGACCTCCAGCTTCGTTTCCATCACCAAGGCCGTCTTTTCCAGATCCTGTTCCTTCCTCTCGGTTTCCAGCTTTACATTCCAATCACCAGTAATTATCCAGGCATCTTGGTTTCATGTTTGCCATTAATTTCATCCCCTTTAAGGACGATGGTAACTGTTGATTTTGTGTATGTGCCCTTTATTATGTTGAGGAATTTACCTTCTATTTGTATTTTATTGAGTGTTTTTATCAGGGATGTGTTTAATTTTGTAAAATGCCATTTCTGCATTAACTACTATGATCATATCATCCCCGCACTCCACCTCGGATTTATTTGTATAGTGGATTGCATTTATTCTTTTTTTCCTTCTAATGTGAACCATCCTTGTATACTAGGGATGAACCCCACTTGGTCATGATTTATTTTTATATTTATATAATATATGTGTGAGAATGGGGATAAAAGGAGAGTGGGCCCAGAGCTTTGATTTTAATTATTAGGTTTATTAGAGTTAACAACCTGCCCTGGTGGGTGTTTAGAATGGAATGAGAGTAAAGGGGGCAGAGTGAGGGGAGATTGGAAGACAGAATAAAGAGAAAATAGCTGAAAGTAAGAAAGAGAGGGCTAGAGCGAGGAAGAGACTGTGGGATGGACTTGCGGCCACAGGAGACGTTGAAGAACGTCAGAGAGAGCGAACAAAGGATGGCGTGTTAATAAACTTTGGGGACAGAAATAAATTATCTGTCTAAAAGGAGCCCGCGCTTCCCCACACTGGCTGTGGCAGCAGCAGAACGGTGAAGAGAGTGGGGTGTTGAGAAGGTGTGGAGAATGGGGTTGGAGGCGCTGGCTGTGAATGAGAACCACAGGGTCACTGCTAGACCCTGCACTATATAGATGTGTTCCATTGTCTGGGATTTTATTGAGAATTTTTACATCTATGTGCTTATCTATATGGTATCTATCTATACTAGTCTGTAAATTCCTATTCTGGTGATGTCTGCCTGGTTTGGGTATGAGGATTATGCTCATTTCATAAAATTAATCAAAAATGAAT